AAAATACACGAACCAATTTCAGATCAGTGTAAAAAATATTTCTACAAGTCACAGATTTGTCACAAATTAATGTTTTATCATTGGTGAAAATTTCTAATGAAGAAAATGATAGAAATACTAATGAGGCATTCGTATTTTTGGGGGCATGGATGAGTAAAATTGGACAAGTATACTATTAACAATGAGAAAATGAACAAAAATACTCTAGTATGCTTATATGAAGAGCATTTATGCAGATGTTCATATGACATGACATATACATTGTTTTTGGCCAACATGGTTGATAGTTGGTAATGTTTTGACCAATTTCATACTCCCCCCGTCCCATATTATTCGTCTAGTTTGGATCTCCCGCCTAGTTTGACTAGAGTCAAACTGGACAAACTTTAATCATCAATTACATTAAATTTGTATTGCATATTAATACAATGTAATGAATTTCTGATAATTTTTTGCAAGATAAATCTAATTAAATCATTTTCGTACTAATATTTAATAGAATTTTTATTTAATTGCAAAGTTTGTCTAGTTTAATTCAACGAAGTCAAACTACAAATATTTTAGAATGGAGGTAGTAGTTCATAGTGTTTTTTGTCCAATCACATATACCGGTGATATTTTTATCCAATTTCCCTAAAAAGCAAGCAACCATTGAGCTAGTGATCATAACTGCAAATTCAATCGATGTGTTCTTTTCTCTTTTAAATCATGAGCTGCACATGATATTTAATAACAGGTCTTGTGTAAAATCCAAGATGAGTTGAAAGCTCGCCTTGTGGACTTGCGTGCTGCAGAAGAAACCAAGAGAAAGCTTTTGAATGAAAAGGTGAAATTACAAGAAAAAGTTATAAAGCTTGAACAGGAGAAAAGTGACAAGGTATTCACTTTTTCTATGTTAATACTAATTCTACTTTTTGTTTAATCTCTCTCCCAAAAAAACATGAAATAAGGTGTTTCTCACATGATATGTAACCTTTCAGAAAAGCTTTGAACATGAATGCAAGACATTAACTCTTCAAGTTTCTGAGCTTCAAAGTAAATTGGAAGAAGTAAAATTGGATTTGGCGGTTGCAAAATCTACTCTCGCGAGAAAGGAAACAGAGCTTGAAATGGTACAAAATAATTTAAAAGAGCTTGAGGAATTGCGAGAAATGAAAGAGGTGACTATATTATGGTAGTTAATCATCTGAACTTCCATGAGCATTTTTTATATTTTTTCTAAATAAGTTACGTAATTAAGCCCTAGGTGACACTGAGGAGCGTGCCTAGAATTTCACTCGAGTTTAAAATTAGTGTGAAGTACTTGTTTCAAATATTTCATTAGCACATTCTTACCCAATCATATGTCCCTTGCCAATGGAGCTAAAAAAACGTTTTGACAATGTTTTAGTTTTGAGTAAATAATGGACTGAATTATAATGGCACATTAAACTTTCCTTGCTTCTTACTTTTGCACTTTGTTGGGTTCAAGCCTCAAAGAATCCGGAAGTGAAAAAGAGAAGATATTGGTAAGGAAAAGTAATTTTGTGTTTGGTTAGAATTGGGAGGAAAAGAGAAAAGGTGAGGAAAATTCAAAGTAAAAAATGAAAGTGTTTTTCATTTCAAGGAGTGAAAACAACAAACTATTCCCTCTTGTCCACTGCTGCCCTGCTCTCCCTTCCTCTCAATCATGTCTTTCTTCATTTTCTCTACGACAACCAAACAAATGAGTTATTGGAAAGTAAGGTTGCACACATTTTAACCCCCAAAACCCCAACGGAGTTGAATTTATGCATTTCATTTGTTGTATCTATTTACTTTTACAAGTTTCATCCTATCTCTTTTAGACTCCATATTCAATAACTTATAATTATGCCTCTACCAGGATATTGATAGAAAGAATGAGCAGACAGCTGCACTTTTGAAGATGCAAGGGGCACAATTAGCTGAAATGGAAGCACTTTATAAAGAGGAACAACTATTGAGGAAAAGATACTTCAACATGATGGAAGGTACTACTACTTGCTAGCATGAGGCTTACATAAACCTAAAATTATAAAATTTCGTATTTATTTTGATTTCCTCTTATTAAGAACACACACTCCGTTTGATATATCTCAGATATGAAAGGAAAAGTAAGGGTCTGTTGTAGATTAAGGCCTCTCAGTGAAAAAGAAATTGGCGCAAGGGAAAGAAACGCACTTACGAGTGTTGACGAGTTTACCGTTGAGCATTTGTGGAAAGATGAGAGAAAACAACATATGTATGATCATGTCTTTGATGGAAACTGTAGTCAGGATGATGTGTTTGAGGATACCAAGGTAAGCACGAGAAAGTTTCCGATCTTTTAAATGGTTAACTCATGGCTTTTTTCAATTTTTTTTAATTTTTTTTTGCGTCAATCTTGAATTCATGCAGTTTTTGGTACAATCAGCGGTCGATGGCTACAACGTGTGCATCTTTGCATATGGCCAAACTGGCTCTGGAAAGACATTTACAATTTTTGGGTCTGATAGTAATCCAGGATTAACCCCAAGAGCTACCTCTGAACTTTTTAGAATTATGAGGCAAGATAGCAACAAGTTCTCCTTTTCTTTGAAGGTAGAACCTTGTTCTACTATATAGTTCGATGCGAGTAATGATTAGGCACTCTAGAATGGTGCTATTCCAAATTACCAATTATAATACTCCCTCAGTCCGGATTTAGCGTTCCACTTTCTTGTTTATGTTTGTCTGGAATTAGTTATCCGCTTTGCATATTCAGTAAAGAAATTATGATGAGTTATTCAATAAAGAAATTTTGACGACTTGTCTAAAATATCCTAGAGATAGGCTAACTCATTTGGAGGGCTTGATGTTTTAAACTCATTTCTTAAAAATGAGAAATTTTTGAAAGTAGACAACTAATTCCGAACGACGGGAGTAGTTTTTAAGCTCTAATAAGTCAAGGTCATGTCTTGCTACATTTTACTTTGCTTCTTTAACTACCACTTTTTGTGCTCGTAATATATTTATGACAGTTTTTTGCGAAATGTAAAAGTGACGTCGTTTGTTTCCGTTTATTTTGATAAATGCAGGCATACATGGTAGAATTGTATCAAGACACATTGGTTGATCTTCTCCTGCCAAAGTCTTCAAAGCGTCTAAAGTTGGATATTAAAAAAGATTCAAAGGTGATTGCAAATTGATAGCCCTTTTTAAAAACTTAAAAACTTGATTCTAACGATTATTATATATGCATTCATGTGGCTGATCTGTTGGGGTGTATGTGAATCAACAGGGTATGGTCGTTGTGGAGAATGTCTCTCTTGTATCTGTTTCAACATACGAGGATCTAAGAACTGTTATCCAGAGAGGATCAGAGCAGCGTCATACAAGTGGGACTCTCATGAATGAACAGAGTTCCAGATCCCACTTGATACTTTCCATTATAATTGAGAGTACAAATCTTCAAACACAAGCTGTCGCCAGGGGAAAGGTATGAAAAATGGTTATGAAATTTTATTTCTACAGTTAGATATACAACAACAAGAAATCCACTAAAATCCCACAAAAAGTAGGGTCCCTGGGGAGGCTGTGTACACAGACCTTACCTTACTTAGAGAGTAGAGAGGCTGTTTTCATGTTACCCTCGGCTCAAACACAGAAACACATACAAAGTAAACACAGTAGCACGAACAAAGTAAGAGCACAAACACAAGAAGCACACATACCGATAATAGCAACTAGACCCAGAGCAAGAAAGCACACATGCTCAAGTTCCAAACTAAGGCAAAAAGCACACTAGCATTAACTGCAAATTAAGCCTCAAAGGTCTACCGAACTACTCTAGGGTTAAATATATCAATAGATAATACTTCCCGCATCCCAAAAAAAGAGACTTGCGTTAGTTGCGTGGGTAAGAATTAAGATACAACATTCTACCTTTAAATCCTTTAACCAACTCAGTTAAGGTACTCACAGGTTATAGCTTTCCACTAATAGTTCTTGAAATTCGGCTCTTATTTTTAGGAGCTGAGTATAAAACATAATGGATGATTGGATTATTATGACTTGTAGTGACAAGGGTGCAACATTTTTTATGCAGTTAAGTTTTGTGGATCTTGCGGGGTCTGAAAGAGTGAAAAAATCAGGTTCTTCTGGCAGTCAACTGAAGGAAGCTCAAAGCATTAATAAGTCACTCTCAGCGCTTGGAGATGTCATCAGTGCATTGGCTTCTGGTGTCCAACACATACCTTACCGAAACCACAAACTGACTATGTTGATGAGCGATTCACTCGGTGGAAATGCCAAAACACTAATGTTTGTGAACGTTTCTCCAGCTGAATCGAACTTGGATGAGAGTTACAATTCTTTGACGTATGTCATTCTGCAACATATTCATATATGGACATGCATTCTATGTTCTTGATGTAATTGTGTGGCCACTAATTCTATTATTATGATTGTTATTTTTTTGAAATACTCAGATATGCATCAAGGGTACGGTCTATAATCAATGACCCGAGCAAGAATGTTTCGTCAAAGGAAGTGGCACGTCTAAAGAAGCTAGTAGCTTATTGGAAGGAGCAAGCTGGGCGAAAGGGGGAAGATGACGAATTGGAGGAGATCCGCGAAGAGAGATTTTCAAAGGAGAATAAGATTTCTGATGGCCGCTTCTCCATGTAAAAAATACTCCGTATATGCCAAGAATACCCTTTAGCAGCTGAAAATCTTTCTCATCACCAACTGTTTGTTGGGAAACATGCAACTCAATCACATAATTGAACACTTAGTGGATTAACCAAACCAACCCCTTATTTGTAATTTAGCGGATGAACCAAACCCTTGTTTGTATTAATTTTTGCACGGGGCGGGTTGTTCTCCAGCATTTTGTTGTTGTTGTTGCAGGGCAGATATATGGTTAGATGTGAGAATTGTAATGATGTATGTATATAGGAAGCAGTTATTATTTATTATGTGTATGAGATTTGCAACCCAATGTTTGGGTTAGTTAATGAAAAATTCCTATTCTTTCTGAACAAATGCTCATGAATTTGTTGTGTTTCTCTTTTGTATACATGTAGTAGCCACTTTCCAAATACACATAACTTAATGGCATGTTTGGATGCTGGCAAATGCCAAAAAAAACAAAGGTGCAAAGTGAGTTACAACTTACAACACATTTCAAGAATATATTTACTACTAGTGTTCCATTTTTCATTCCCAAAAGAATAGAATATTGTGGGTACTGTATATATATTAGTAAAAGAAAAAAATATGTACCATGAAAGAAAAGGCTGAGTGAAATCTTTTGATTTCAGATTAGAAGAGTTCTCATGGTTGGTGATAGATAGATGGACACAAATGCAACTACACCAAGGAGTTCAAGTGTCATGTGCTGCTAGCATTGTTCCTCTTGTCGCTGACGGATTGCGGGGTCCACCCCGAGTTGAATTGTGAAGTCGTCATCGTCGATGCCAAATCAGCTTCAAGTGAATCCATGTCGAAGGGCACCATAGATGGCCACACGAATGATGGCTTGAAGGGCGGGACATTCGGTGCTGGAATCGAGCCTTGAATGATCTGCAGAACGTCAGACGTTCTCGGCCTCTCGCTAGCCGTTGGGTGCGAGCAAGCCAATCCCAACAATAGAAGTCTCTTGGCTTGGTCCTCGACATAAGCATCCCTTAACCTTGGGTCCACTCCCTCTCGAATTTTCCCGTCGCGGTGCAAGTACCAAACCCAATCGACGAGAATGTTAAAGCTGTCGATCTTTGCCCCGGGCCTCCGCCCGCACAATACTTCCAATATCACCGCTCCGAACGCATAAACATCCGACTCCCGAGTGGCCTTACCTGTCAAGAAACCACCGCACGTCAAAAAGTCAACTCATCTAAAAACTCAAACTTCTTGTTGAAACTTAGCAAATAGTACTTTTGATCGGTAAGGTTCATATGACACTCACCGGAGTGTCTATCCGATGACACCAGCTCCAATTGGAACACCTACCCCCTAACCTCCTCCGTAAACCCTCCATCCCGGTCCGACGTGAACCCACACCCCCAACCCTTTCAATTTCATCCCTCAAATTTTGTTGACTTTAATGTAGAACATGAACAAGCCCGTAGAAATAGCATTACCAGTGTGGAAGCACTCGGGCGCGACGTACCCCACGGTGCCGAGCACGCCCTCGGCCTCGGCATACGAGGTCTTCTCGTTGTCGAGAGCGCGCGCAAGGCCAAAGTCACCGAGGCGGGCGTTGAAGTGGGAGTCGAGCATGATGTTGCTGGCCTTGAGGTCGCGGTGCACCACGCGCTGTTCGAACTCGTTGTGGAGGTAGTGCAGCGCGGAGGCGACCCCGCACAGGATTTTGTACCGGAGTTCCCAGCTCAACGGGTCATTTTCCGGCGACGAGGAGAAGATGTGTTGGTCTAAGCTTCCATGGGGCATGTATTCATACACCAGAAGTAGCTTCCCATACTTGTGACACCACCCTGCACATTACATTTTAAAATATTTTCAAAAAAATATTTTATCACGAAGTTATATACGATGTAAGGGATAAATTTAATTTAATGTAATTTACGTGTTTGGTTGTTTTGCTTGGTCAATGAAAAATAAAATCTTGGTAGGATAAAACAAAAACACACTACTTTATTTTTTTCCATAAAATACGTGATCAAATCTGGATAGATACACGTAGTTGAAATTGAATCAATGTAAAAAAAGTGAAGGTATGGAGTGATTTTGTCAACTCTTTCACAGTTTATTGTAGAAAGAGAGAATGCATTTTCAAATTACTACAACTGTCACCCATAACTATCCCGAGAACTTAATAATGACAATAACGGATCTGTTTGGGAATAACATTAGCGATTAACGTTAACGTTTTGAAAAGACTATCTCCATTTGGGTAAGATTCACTTTGTTAACGTTGAATAGTTTTGTCATTTCTTCTTTTTTTTAAATTTTGTATGTAATTTTTTAAATATGCAAATTTTATTTTTAAAATATTCAGAAATAAATAAAATAAATTCTGGGGAAAAGATAATTCCAAGGCAGAGACAATAAAAATGATTATTTGTCCCCAAAAATCTGGGCCATTAATTTTTGGAGCTGTTGAATAGTCCCAACCGGTCTAGGCCAGCCCGGACAAGTTGGGGGAGTAAGGAGTATTTTATCAAATTTATACAATACGGAAAATATCATAATTATGTTATTTTAAGAGTATCAAATTATGTACTCCGTATCAAATAAAATTAATTTGATTCTCATATTGGATACCAAATAAAAACTATAAATTACACCATTTAAAAGTATATAAAAAATTCTATAAAATAAGAGGAGAGAAGAATATTTTATTTCATTAGATTATTGATGAAAAATATATAAACAAACAAAATTTATCGAGAAGTGAGAATAGTGATGTATGTAGCATCTAATCCGGGAGGGTAGGGCTGGGTTGGAAAAACCGAAAACCGCAAACCGAACCGAAATCGATCAGAACGAGCTAGTAAAAAAACCGAACCGAAAAAACCGAAACCGAATGTAAAAAAACCGAACCGAACCGTTAGTATTTGGTTCCGTTTTGGTTTTCACTTTGAAAAACCGAACCGAATAAACCGAACTTTTTTAGATACTTCACTTAATTTATATGAATATATGTGATATGTAGAAAAATCATAGAAATATAAATGCAAATAAGTTACTAGTCGATTTAAATTATTTTCTTATCTATTAATTAAATATTCTAGCCATATTATTATCAACTTTAAAAAACTTAAGAATATATATGAACACCATCCAATAGTAATCCTAATATAGAATCATATTAAGATTAAAAATTGATACGCGTAATTTACATATTTACATAAAAAATACTTTGATGTTATGATGAAATTGAAAGTATTATACAAAAAATATAAATTCTTCATAATTGATTTTACATACGATGTCTTTGGAAGTATTTAGAATTTTCTAAATGTTTGTTGGCACTCCACACATTTTTTTTATGTAAAATTAAACTATAAGGAGCAATAACCTTCTGTTTGGTTTTTTGTTTTTGTGTAAAAATCAAACAAAAAAACCAAAGCTAACACTACATATTTTTATTGTTTCATCGAGTTAGTGTTTTATAATTTTTTAATGTTTATAAATTTCTACTTTTATAAACCGAAAAAACAAATAAAAACCGTAAAAAACCGAACCGAATAACCAACGATTTTCATATTTTTTATGCAAAACCGAACCGAACCGAACCGAACCGCCAATTTACCTTCCGTTTTGTCTTTGGTTTTGGGTAAAAACCGAACCGCCAAAACCGAACCACCCCTACGGGAGGGAGAGAATAATTGTTTGTGGTGGGTTTGACAAACAGATGGGACCAAACGGGGCCCTCCTAACTTATCCGACACACTTTTACGGTCGCCTTTCACGACTGATATTTTTAGTCAAGCCCATAGCCCTTTGCATGTGTTTGGGCTTGGGTCCACCGGCCGGCCGGCCAAACAAACAAGAAACCGATGAAGACTAAAGCAGCCTAGGGTCTGTTTGCCTCGATTCAATTAAGGTTAAAATGAACGAAGGTGAGAAATATAACTAATGAGATACTTACCTAGGAGCTTGACGAGATGTTTATGGCGGAGACGATTGATGATGGTGAGCTCAGCTAGGAAATCATCTTCTCCCTTTATGTTCTCTCTGGAAAACAATTTCACGGCGATCTCCATTTTCTCCACCGCCAAACACCCCTTATACACCACCCCGTACCCTCCGCTCCCCAGCTTCTTCTTCTCCTCGAAGTTCTCCGTCGCCTTCTTCAGATCCTTGAACTCGAACTCCCTCGGTGTCCCCGGCAGGCTCTTCAGCGCTCCCAGTATCGCCGATTGGCTCCTCGCGTTCCTCCCCCTCCGCATCCTGTGCGCCGCCGCCGCCGCGATCGCCGCCAGGACTGCCGCCGTGGCACCGACCCCGATTGCTACTATCTTCTTCCGCCAGGATTCTTGATTTTCCGGGAAGTAGTCGATCGTGAACGTCCATCTCAGAACGCAGTTCAGCTCGTACTTGTTCCCCGTCGAGGCGGAGAACCCGAAATAGGATTCTTGATCCAGGTGGTCCCTGAGATCGAGATCCGTCCTCAGAACAGGGGACTCCGGCTTCGGCGGCGAGTCGTCGCCGTCCTTCGTCTCTTGCTCCCCGACGAACACCTCCATGACCTTCGCCGCCCCGTCGTACTGCACCCAGACGTTGTAGAACCTCGCGGCGGTGCTATTCGGGGCCAAGACCATGCCCCGACGCGTCAAAGACTCGACCTTTACAGATCTGACGCCGTTTGCATCAATGCCGACGTGGTTGCCGTCGGGGTCGAAGTCCTGCTTGTTGGTGTCGAGCTCGACGGCCACGATCCGGTTGGTGGCGTTCCCGTCCGTGGACGCATTCGTGAGGCCCAAGAACTGACCGGAGCTGTTTCCGGGCAGCTCCATGGAGGAGGCGACCAAGAAAGCCAGACCTTCACCGGCGGAGCCGTTTAGCGGGTAAATGTTGATCCGGAAAGTGGAGTTGAAAGAGGCGATTTCCCTCTGCTGGTAATCGGTCGAATTCCTCGGGGAGAAATTCGTTTTACTTTTACCATCCCAGAGCTTGAACGGCTTGTCGATGAACACTCTGCCGGACATGTTCTTGATGGGGAAGTTATTGAAGTCCTGGGTGCCGGTGTCAGGGGTGACCTGGATGGCGTTGTGGTCGATGTCGGCATTTTGCAGGGAGAGATCTTGGAAGGGATGGGATTGATCGAAGGTGTAGGTGTACGTTTTCTTTGCTTGCAGAAACGTGGCGGCCGGAAAACAGATAAGAATGAGGACGACGAAGGTGCAGGGAGAGGAGAAGCCCATGTATGAGTGAAGGAGGGAGAAGACGAATGAATCAGTGGGTGGAATGGGTGATGGAATCCTTTCATCCCAATCTCATCTTTTGTATTGTATTTTTTGGTGGGGGAGTGGGGAAGAAGATGATGGCGTAATGGGCGTTGAAGTTTGAATTGTGAGATGGGGCTTGCTTGGGAGCAGGAATTTCTAGGAAATCGAGATACAGTACGTACAATACAAGGTTGAATACTTAAACATCAGACGACCTCTTTTGAAGCTCCGGGGCTTCAAACTGGGGCTTCAAACCTTCATTTTTTACATTTTTAAATATACATCTTCTAAATTTAAATTAATTTATTATTTAAATTAATCGCAATGAGACTAGTGCATTAAAAAAATTACATTCATTAAAAAAAATCTTACATTTATAAAAAAACATTCATTAAAAAAATATTACATAAAAAAACAGTAGTACAAAGAAATCAATAATTATTCGAACGACTAAATATATGTTCGATCAAATCCGCCGTTAGTGCATTGTGAATCTCTCGTATTCGAATTTCTTGACGGTTGCGTCGTTTCTTTTCTTCGGTGATTTCTTCGTACATAGGCACCTCCTCGTCCGGGTTGTATTGACAAATCGCAGTCACGTTATCCTCTATGATCATATTATGAAAAATAATACATGCGTACATGATATTCCTCATTTTTGTTTGAGAATAACATTTCGACGGACGATCTAGAATGTGACATTTACTCTTCAAGACTCCAAAGGCTCGTTCAATATCTTTTCTCGCCGCCTCTTGAGCTTTTTTGTAGGTCTGGCGTTTAAGACCCATTGGTTCGGAGAGGGATTTGACAATCATGGAATAATCTGGATATATTCCATCGGCCAAATAATATCCACGCTTGTAAAGCGTCCCTCTAAGCTCAAAAGAGGAGTCCGGTGCGGTCTCATTAACCCAATCGTCAAAAACAGGCGATTGATCGAGAACGTTGATGTCGTTGTTCGAGCCCGCGACACCGAAAATAGCATGTCAAATCCACAAGTCATTCGAAGCAACAGCTTCGAGCATGATGGTAGGCTTGGGATGATCTCCCCGAAAATGATTACTAAAATCCTCCGGTGTATAAACGCACAGATTATTAAAGTAGTCGTTTAGAAGTGAAGCGTGGGCGACCACTCAATCCCGGTTTAAACGTTGTCGCCGGGTCTGTCGTCGGGAGGACTCGGCTTCTTCTTGGCCATCTTCCCACCATTGAATACAATTCGTCGCGAAACAACGAAAAAAGAAAGCTCTTCTTTCATCGTCGGAAGATGAACCCATTTTTAAAATATATTTTATAAGTATTTATAATAAATAATAAATATTTTAGAGAGATGTGTGAGAGAGATGTGTGAGAGAGATGATTTTTTTAGGGGAATTTATAGTTTTTTTTTTGATTTTTTTTATTTGGGGGGGGGGGGGGGGGGGGGG